CCTGAGGATGATCTTTCTCAAAAAGCAGAAGATATTATAAAAGCTCTGGGAGAAGTTTGAAAACAATTTCACAACTCAAAATAGTTGAAATTTAGTCAGTCGAATTTAGCCTGATCCAAGGTATCAGATAAAAAAAATGCTTCTGGGTAACTGGTTCAAAACTATAAGCTAGAACCTAAACAAGAATTAAAAATATTATAATTTAATTGTGTTCCTTGTCAGTGTCATAAGACTTTCTGTCTTCATTAATCAAAATTGCAAACAAAACACTTCTCTAACATTAAACTCTAAACTCCCTAACATGCTATTTACATTGTCCGCACGGAAACACACTGACGAGCTGCAGATGTGCCCTTTTGAAAACAACAGTGTTTGAGTGTGGTAGAGCAGCTCGAGTCAACCTCCCAGCGCTGAGTGTCACATATTAACAGATAACACTCATTACTCTTGCAGAGATTCTGAATCAGCCTGCGGGGAATATGTGCTAAACTAATTCTGACTCACAGAGCTCAAAGAGAACATGTCATAAATAAGTAAATGTCTGTTCTCTCACTCTCTATAGACAGCAGGACCCACCTGTACTCTTCCTCAGTGAAGATGGGAATCCTGGAGGGCTGAAGCACAGTGATTTCCACTGTAGTTCTGTTCATTTTCACCGGCTCTCCGTCGTCATAGGCGATGACCACCAGCTACGAGAAGAGGTCATGAAAAATACATTAAAACGCAGTTCATACAGACAGCGACTTGTGTCTGAATTTAAATTTCAATGCCTAATATTTTTATATTTAATAAAAGGAACAAGATGTAGTGGAGCTTTGTATTAAAATATAATAAACTGAAAAACTTAATGGCTAGAGTTTTTTTTTTTTATCACATATTTTGTCTTTTTCATGGCATGGCTAGTTCAGTTTTTTTTTTTATGTAAATGCAAGAAAACTTGCTGATACTCATTTAAAATTCAATGGCATTTTAAAAACCTGTTTGAAAAAGTTGGACACACTCATTTGTATTCAAGGTAAAAGGAAAATATGTCATTGCTTTTCACTTGATGGTCAAACCACTGGACATTTCTAAAGTACATTTAATCAATTTTATTTCTCGAAAAAACTACAATCATTTAAAAAGAAATGTTTGAAGCCAACATGAATACAAAATTAATTGGTGCAAGTCTTCAACTCGATTTTATTTAAGGATTTCTCTTTTTCAAAATCTCGGACATCATTATTTGTCATTGAACTAGTTTTTTATTGTAAAGATGAACATGAAAACATTACAAAAACTTTGCTGTCAAATCTATTATTTTACAGACAGACAGACATGTCTAATATTTGATCAGGTACTTAATAGTGGCACAAAGTATACATCAAGTATGCATGCTGCATTTGTCCTTTTATAAATCTTAAAAATACATCCTGAGAAGTGCATGTTATTGATTAAATGTTGTGTCAACCCTCATTTCTAAACAAAGTCATTCTATTACAGAAAAACCAACATTTGCTCAAAGGTAAATTGATTTGAGTTCACTTAACGTTAGGCTAATTAATTTATATATCGATTCAGGTCATAGTAGAGGAGACAGCAACTAAAGTGTACACAGGTTCATTGTGAGTATGCTGTAGAAACACAAAGTTCTGTAATGAAACTTTAGACAGCGCAGGCCGATAGGTCTTAACTCAATCTGATTTAATCATAGCTGATTGGTTTCTTTTCTTATCAACAGCCAACCACTTGGCTAGTGCTTGCTGTAGCAGTTGCAGTGCAGCAGTTGCAGTGCACTTCAAAAACCCTCCACCTTCCCCAGCTCCACCTGTATAGATCTGCTATGGGGTAACTTCAAATATGTTATATATGGGGGTTATTTCATATACAGTATGTTATGCAGTAGCTGTATTTCAATACATGCTCACAGCAGCATGTCTGTGGATGTATTGGCAGTAGCAAGTCTCGGTACTTGCTAGCAGATCTATTCTGCCAAGACCAGACACATTAATACTGCCATGTATATTACCATGCTAAACTCTCAGGCTGATGATACACGGGGCAACTTTTTGAGAAATTTTCCCGGGCAACTTTTTTTGAGCAATGTTGTATTCAAGGTAAAAGGAAAATATGTCATTGCTTTTCACTTGATGGTCAAACCACTGGACATTTCTAAAGTACATTTAATCAATTTTATTTCTCGAAAAAACTACAATCATTTAAAAAGAAATGTTTGAAGCCAACATGAATACAAAATTAATTGGTGCAAGTCTTCAACTCGATTTTATTTAAGGATTTCTCTTTTTCAAAATCTCGGACATCATTATTTGTCATTGAACTAGTTTTTTATTGTAAAGATGAACATGAAAACATTACAAAAACTTTGCTGTCAAATCTATTATTTTACAGACAGACAGACATGTCTAATATTTGATCAGGTACTTAATAGTGGCACAAAGTATACATCAAGTATGCATGCTGCATTTGTCCTTTTATAAATCTTAAAAATACATCCTGAGAAGTGCATGTTATTGATTAAATGTTGTGTCAACCCTCATTTCTAAACAAAGTCATTCTATTACAGAAAAACCAACATTTGCTCAAAGGTAAATTGATTTGAGTTCACTTAACGTTAGGCTAATTAATTTATATATCGATTCAGGTCATAGTAGAGGAGACAGCAACTAAAGTGTACACAGGTTCATTGTGAGTATGCTGTAGAAACACAAAGTTCTGTAATGAAACTTTAGACAGCGCAGGCCGATAGGTCTTAACTCAATCTGATTTAATCATAGCTGATTGGTTTCTTTTCTTATCAACAGCCAACCACTTGGCTAGTGCTTGCTGTAGCAGTTGCAGTGCAGCAGTTGCAGTGCACTTCAAAAACCCTCCACCTTCCCCAGCTCCACCTGTATAGATCTGCTATGGGGTAACTTCAAATATGTTATATATGGGGGTTATTTCATATACAGTATGTTATGCAGTAGCTGTATTTCAATACATGCTCACAGCAGCATGTCTGTGGATGTATTGGCAGTAGCAAGTCTCGGTACTTGCTAGCAGATCTATTCTGCCAAGACCAGACACATTAATACTGCCATGTATATTACCATGCTAAACTCTCAGGCTGATGATACACGGGGCAACTTTTTGAGAAATTTTCCCGGGCAACTTTTTTTGAGCAATGTTGCTTGGGCACTTTCCCATTTAGAATGGGTAACACATTTCTATCTGTATACTTTAGATCGGTCGTGGGCCCTGCGTCTCACCTGGTTGCCCGTTGATGGCAACACTGCCCAAAGTTGCCCGGCAACATTGCTCAAAAAGTTGCCCCGTGTATCATCAGTCTCAGAGAGATGCCATGACAGATATAAACTTACGCTATTGTTACCATTTAAATCCAATGACTCTCCCCTCTTTTTAATAAGTTACTGACTATCATGTGTCCTGATAAATAGTTTTAGCTTTACTTTGACTGCTATGAATAAATATTTTAAAGTTTGTTTTGTGCTTTTCTATCAAGTAGTAGCACAATGCTGTCTTGCGTAACAACAGTATACTTCTTTGACTTATTAATAGAACAGTATGGCACAAATAGCTATGGCATGCATGTGCGTAATTGGGCACATTACATGAGTCACATGCTGGTATTTTATTGGGGGCCATCTGACGAACCATTTCCATTTCTGATTATCTGAAGGCCAATTCACACTGCACCGACAGACACAGACAACACAGATTACAGTACGTCACTTCTCAGACATTCCAAGACCCGACAAACACCAATTCAACATGTTCAGTCGGTGAAAACAAGTGCAGACCAACGGCAACAGATGCCGACATGGGCAACACAATGATCCAACAAAACCCAATGAGCCTGTCTGTTGCCATTTGTCTGTGTCTGTCTGCATGTTCTGCATCTCAGAACATTTTTAGTTCTTGATATCTAATGCATTAGCATAATGAAATAAACCTTGAAGTGTTACCATAAAAGTCTAGGTTTGACTTGTTAGTCAAATTAGTATGTCCAAAAAACAGATGTATCCAAACCATTTCATTCTCCATCCTGTACTTTACAAACTCTTGTGAATTAAAACAAAACTTTAATTTTAATCGCATTGTCCTGGATTCCAACTCAAGTTGTGTGCATATTAGCACCACCGCTCAACTTCAAACAAGTGAAGTGTTTAACAGCAGAAGGACGGCCTGTCGGCTCAGACTCACCCTGAAGACGGCGTTGGGCTGCTCATTCAGGTTGACTTTGGTGATAACTCGTCCTGTTTCTGTCTCCACATCAAAGATACTTCCACTGTACGGAGACAGATCCTGATCCACTCTGTAGCGCACTTTACTGGCAGGCGTACCCTGAGGGAGAGACAACACGTTTAGTATCAACACATCCCTAGAGCACATCAACGACCAAAGCTAGTGTATTATTATATTTAATTCTATGCATCACATTTTTAGACAATTACAGAATTCTATTGTTATCACTGCTTCAAAAGAGGTTTCATTATATATTCTTTCTATGACATCAAACCATAATCATTTGCAGAATATTTTCCAAGCTACTATTTTCCATACAACAATAGAAGACAAAAGTCAGTGTCTCTCAAGCTCCAAAAAGGCAAATAAAAGCCCTTATTTGCCTTTAAGTATATAGCCTAAGTATTTCAATATCTTGTGTGAAGAACACACTGAAATGAGTCATTATTCATTGAAAATTACACATTATTCAAGTTTTACATTAATGACATCAAATGGCACTGAAATGTACACTACCATTCAAAAGATTTCTTTTTTTGGAGGAATATAGTATTTTTTATTAAGCAAGGACATATTAAATTAATCAAAAGTGACAGTAAAACCTCCTATTCATCAAACAATCCTGAAATTTTTTTTACAAAAATATTTCCACAAAAATATACAGCAGCACACCTGTTTTGAACATTGATATACTGTAAGAAATGTTTGTTGAGCAGCAAATCAGCATATTAGAAGGATTTCTGATGGATCATGTGACACTAAAGACTGAAGTAAAGGCTGCTGAAAATTCAGCTTTACATCACAGTAATAAATTACATTTTAAAACTTATTAAAATAGAAAACAGTTATTTCAAATTGTAATAATATTTCACAATATTAAACAAATGCAGCCTTGGCAAGCAAAACAGACCTCGTTTAAAAAAGGTTTAACAACTTCAAACTTGACGTTTGCTCAAAATTTGCATGAACTATGTTTCTAGTTTTAATAGGTTTCTATGCTCCTGATGCATTTATGGTGGTCTTTTTTGGAGCTTGACAGCCCTCGGTTGAAAATATGTTGTATGGAATAGAACAGCTTGGACATTCTGCAAAACATCTCCATTTGTGTGAATCATACATCATTCATCATACATCGTGAATCATTTGGGTGAATCGATGATGACAGAAGTTTTATTTTTGAGTGAACTATTCCTTTAAAGGATTGACTCTTCTTTGAATAGTGGGTTTGAACTTCCTCAAAGGTCTCTCGGGCATCGTGTTTTGTAAAGCTACAGAGAGCTCCGTCTGCTGCACCTCATTCTACTGATACTTTACAGCTCTTCCGTCTAGCTGCGTCATAAATGTTTGATGCTTTGTGCTGTGGTAAACATACAAACTCATTTATGCTGCAGTAGAAAGAGACAGAAACAACATCACATTTACATCTCTGACAGCCAAGAAATTAGTTTCTAGTTTTTTTTTCTTTTAAGTCCATGTCAAAAATTTTCTACGGCTTATTATTTGTCATATTTCTTCCCCCCCCCATGTTTTCAAAGCATTATTTAAAGAAGAACTGCATAATTTAACAGCTTCTGTGGCAGGCCATGACAATAAACAGCACTGTAGTCTGTTTGACGGCAGACGGCATGAACAGGAAAAGCAAAACAGACAGATTTACCTCACCCGACCACGATAATCTCTGTTAAGACGATCACACCACTACGTTTAGGGAAAGTAAAGTTAAATCCGATGACCTGACATTACTGTATAACTAGCTGCTGTCCTGGTTCTCGTGTAAAATCCAGTCATGATGCCAAATAAGAACAACAAATGCAGGCAAGTTCTGCTAGAATGAATCTACTAGAGAAGTTAAATGCTCACACAGTAGCATTATCTGATTCTTAGTCATTACAATACATCACCGCAAAGAAATCTCAATTTTAACAAGCATTTGAAGCACAGATAACCTGACTTTATGCTAATAGTCATAATATTATTATCTCTTGTTACGAAAAGATACAGTAGTCTTGATGCAGTATTATGATGAAAAGAATCATTAAATGCTCACAGCTAAAGGCCATCACAACCCTTTCAGTACAATACACAGTAATATTGTGAAATATTATTACAATATAAAGTAACTTCTATTTTAATTTTAAATTCTAATATGCTGATTAGAAACATTTTTTTATTATGATCAATGCTGAAAACTGCTTTTTAATACTTCTGATGCATATTTCAAAATTTGGTGCAAGATTTGAAATAAAAAAATTGAAAAATATACTGTATTAAAACATTTAAAAGTGTATTAAAATAGAAAACAGTCACTTTAAATTGTAGCCTTGAGCATGACAAATGCATCTTTGCCAACCCCAGAGGGTTAAAAATACATTAAAACAATCTTAATTGTTTGATATATGTTTAAAAAAAAGATAATATTGAAATATATTGTATAAACTAAGCCCTAAATAGTACAGTTACCCTAAAAAATGAAAAGGAAGCATTCCCTCTGGGTTAAGCCATCAAATTAGACAGGCCTCGCTCCTGTTAATATGGGATAAAATCAGTTAACTGTTTAATGTCATTTTCAACGGGTGTCAAAGTCAACACTCAAATGTGAGTCAGTCACATTAGCAGGACACATTAAGTTTCTGTCTGGTGATTGTATTCATGCTCTACCGGTATGATTAATGGCTGCTGGTTGTTCTGCTCTGTAGTGACACTTCAAGGATGGAAGTCCATTACTCATCCCTTTAAATCTTTTCAAATAAAAGGAAGTCAACGCTCAGGACATGAGGTTCAACCAGCATAAAGGCAAAGGAGGAGCTTTCATTACCCAGTGACCTTTGCAGCCGTGCATATGAATACAGTGTCATTATCTCATTTGCTGGCATGGGCTGGAAACGCAGTGCTGCTCGTACTGTAATCATCTGTGTTTGAGCGTCACCCTAATGAGAACGGTCACTTCCTGTCCTTGTTCTGCAGCACACTTTTCCTTTCAAGGCTGCTTCCGAGAAGTGGATTTTCTAAGTGTGAATTATCTGACTTTAATTCCAGTCATGCCTGAGAGAGACCGAGATTGAGCCGCTCCACGTCTCCATGGTGATTCACAACACAACCGGAATGATGAATCTGGTATTTCAGTGGGGCTTCCAGGGTCATCAAAAAAAAAAAAAATCTTCCCAGACATCAAAACAAAAATGCACAAACACACACATGCACAAAACAACCTCAAGAAATTCACAAACGCAAGCCACACATAAAAATGAGGCCATCCTCTTATAATTTTTCGCAAACCTTGGCTGCGATCTGCAGACGTGTAACCTTGCTAGAATAAAATATGAGCACGCTCTGGGCTGAACAATAAAGATTTCAGTCAAGTCAGTGGATCAGATGAGCCAGGGCTAGCAGAGGCTAACATGAAAAAATGTTTCTATTTTTTAGCAACATTTTGAAAGTTATCTTAAATTCAACCTTGAAATCTAAAGCATACTTTACAGTTCTTGTAAAAACTGGACGGAGTGCGAATGGAACAGAGTGCAGGATTCTCAAGACACGTTTTAGAACTATTTTATGCTTGACACAGTCTCTTAAAACACAGCATCCATGTTGGCAAAACAATACCTGAAACAGTGTTATTAAACCTTCTTGTTAACAGAAATAAAAATAAAAATGAACATTTCAGAAAAAAATTAACTAAACAAAAATTATTTTTAATTGGTATTTCTTTACAAGACTTTTTAATATAAATAAAATAACATACATATAAATAACATTATATACAAATAACCGCTTTTAACATTTTAATGAATATTAATTTTTGAAATAAATATTTTATTTATCCAGCTAAAATGCATCTCCATATAGGACACATGGGATGCAATTTTTTAAACATATGACATGAAGACTCATGTCTTCCTTACATTTATTCAAAGAAGTACATGGAAGACCAAAGTTGTTTTTAAGATAAGTAAAAAAAAAAATTTTGTTTTACAAAAACATCTAGAATAACTAGACATTAAACAAAACAAAAACATCAAGATATCTGTGTTCTGTTCCATTCTGTGCTTTTGTGTTGATTTTGAGGCTTGAAAACATTAGTACTCATTGATTGGAATTGGATGAAACAAAAAATCACCATACATTAGTAAATATATATTTTTTTTGTAATCCGCAGAAGAAAAAAAAATTAGTTTGGAGTAAGTAAATAATGAAAGAATTTTTAATTTTTTTAGATGATTTATTCCTTTTTCTCTTAGCATAACAAATATTTTACTGACTTCTAAAGTAACGTTTTTGTTTATTCATTGCTTTACTCTGGCAATATATATAATATTATGACCTTTAATATAATATCTTTTTTTTTTTTCTTAATTTCTCACAAATACTGAGATAAAATGCAATTAATTATTTTTTATGTTTTTTTACTAATTTGATATATATATATATAGTATATATATTTAAAAATTCAATAATTATTTTTGGATGTACTTTTTTTTTACTCTTAGTACGACACATACAATAGACTATCTTGACTCTTGTCAGCGCTCTTGAAATAAAAAAGAATAAAATAAAACTTCAACTCAAACCCTTCAGAGTCAGGCAGTGTTGTGTCTCTGTCTAGTGAGAGTCCTTCAGGTTAAGCTGTGTCAGAGACTCCCAGCAGAGTCCTGTTCATACGGAGGGATTCAGAGTCACCTCAAACACCCCTCAGTGTCCTCTCTTACCTGCTGTAAGTGACTCGTCCTGTCATATAAAAACACTTATCGTTATTCACTGAAAATCTTGCCCTCCGTCTCAAACCTCATTCGTATCCACATTTCTTTAGATACACTGTGGCATCTTGTGTGTCTGAACTGATAGTGATGTGAAAGATTTGAGATGAAGATTTTCAGTGAATAATTAAAAGAAAAGTTATTTTAAATTCTAAAATGTAAATAATATTGATTATTGATATTATTATTGATAATATTGATTTATTTATTTGATCATTTGAGCAAATAAATGCAGCCTTAGTGAGCATAAGAGACATCAAAGAATCAAAGTTCTTTCAAAAACATTTGAAAAATCTTACCGACCCCCAAAATTTTCTGAACAGTAGTGGATATATAAGCCATTTATTTGTGCAATATATGCAATTTTATTAACCCATTGAAGGCCATATTTTAATATGCAGTCGTGGCCAAATGGTTAGAGAGTCTGACTTGTAGCCCAAAGGTGGCAGGTTCAAGTCTGGGTACCAGCAGGGATTGCAGGTGCGGGGAGTGAATGACCAGCGCTCTCTTCCACCCTCAATACCACGACTGAGCAAGGCACGCTGCAGTAAAAATGGCTGCCCACTGCTCCGGGTGTGGGGTATTATTATGGCTCATATTTTAATATCACTCAATGTTCAACTGAATAAGACGTGGGCTAAAAAGTGGTTCCAGCACCCCTGCTGTTCCTTTGAATGTACCATCACCAGCAGCACCTAAAGCTAATAAATCTGTGACAACTGTAGCAACCACACAGCGAAACATTAAAACACCACCAACATCGCTGTTCATTTTAACACCCACTAATGAAAATGTCATTTCTGAACACCAATTGAAAACGCTTCCTGTGTATAACAAACCCCTGCTGCGAGCTTTGTTTCCCTTAGAGGAAAGTGACGGGAACAAAATTGACCAAGGCAGAAAAAAATTGAAGCTGCAAAGCTGTTTGTGAAGTTTGGCCGTTGTAAAAGACAAATTAACACGCTTTAAAACTATTTTGAGGCTTGAAAACATTAGTACTCATTGATTGGAATTGGATGAAACAAAAAATCACCATACATTAGTAAATATATATTTTTTTTGTAATCCGCAGAAGAAAAAAAAATTAGTTTGGAGTAAGTAAATAATGAAAGAATTTTTAATTTTTTTAGATGATTTATTCCTTTTTCTCTTAGCATAACAAATATTTTACTGACTTCTAAAGTAACGTTTTTGTTTATTCATTGCTTTACTCTGGCAATATATATAATATTATGACCTTTAATATAATATCTTTTTTTTTTTCTTAATTTCTCACAAATACTGAGATAAAATGCAATTAATTATTTTTTATGTTTTTTTACTAATTTGATATATATATATATAGTATATATATTTAAAAATTCAATAATTATTTTTGGATGTACTTTTTTTTTACTCTTAGTACGACACATACAATAGACTATCTTGACTCTTGTCAGCGCTCTTGAAATAAAAAAGAATAAAATAAAACTTCAACTCAAACCCTTCAGAGTCAGGCAGTGTTGTGTCTCTGTCTAGTGAGAGTCCTTCAGGTTAAGCTGTGTCAGAGACTCCCAGCAGAGTCCTGTTCATACGGAGGGATTCAGAGTCACCTCAAACACCCCTCAGTGTCCTCTCTTACCTGCTGTAAGTGACTCGTCCTGTCATATAAAAACACTTATCGTTATTCACTGAAAATCTTGCCCTCCGTCTCAAACCTCATTCGTATCCACATTTCTTTAGATACACTGTGGCATCTTGTGTGTCTGAACTGATAGTGATGTGAAAGATTTGAGATGAAGATTTTCAGTGAATAAAGAATTACACTGTGGTCAATTTTTGTTTTTTTTCTCACAAAAAAAAAAAAATCCCTACATGCCACTCAATATCCAATTTGGCAACAAAACGGACATGTTTAGTCACTACAGTACTAATAAATAAATAAATTTATAATGCTACAAAAGATTTGTCTCAAATAAATGCTGTTCTTTTGGAAAAAAATTGAAGCTGCAAAGCTGTTTGTGAAGTTTGGCCGTTGTAAAAGACAAATTAACACACTTTAAAACTACTTTTAAACACTAACTACATTCAGGCGTCTTTGAAACTTTTGTGACTGTGGTCCAGAGTTACTGACAACCAATAAAGTCTGTTAACAACACATCCACACTGCATATGGAGACCTAGAAACCCACAAAACATCTTTCTGTTTTACAGTCTGTGGATGATAAACATTTACAGGCATTCAGAGCATATCCAGCCCCTGGCTTGCGCTGCCACTCTGGATAAACCAAACCTCAGGCAGCAAATAACCTTGTTTATGTAATTTATAAGGTAATAAGAGATGTGTGTCTTTGCTATACTGTAATGGCCTTGCGTTTCCCTCCAGCTGTAAAAGTTGCAGAAGCGTGCTGGGCTGCATTCTAAAGCCCAATAAATATTTCCACTCTCTGATGAAAGCACAAAACATCATTTCCAAACTCATTTCAATCATTTCAAACATCATTTCAAACTCGCGGGAGACTAAACTCTCATACGCAGTAATACACACTACTGTATATACAAACTTCAGATGAAGAAATTCAAAAGAGACCAGGGATAAAATCATGCAAGTAATATTGTTAAATATAATTACAATTTAAAATAACTGTTTTTTTACTTGAATATATTTTATATTTACTATATTTTATAATGTTTATTCCTGTGATTCAAAGCTGAATTTTCAGCATCATTACTCCAGTCTTCAATGTCACATGATCCTTCAGAAATCATTCCAATATGCTGATTTGATGCTCAAGAAACATTTCTTATTATTATCAGTGTTGAAAATGGTTATTTTGCTTAATAGGATTCTTTGATGTTCAAAAGAAGAGCATTTATTTGAAATCTTGAAAATCTTTTATAACGTTATAAATGTCTTTACTGTCGCTTTTGATCAATTTAAAAATACTATTTTTAAAAAATCGTACTGACCCCAAAAATATTGCATTCAATTGTTCATCTCAAAGCTGTACAGCAGTTACTTGACCTTGAACATGCAGTACTGGCCCCGTATTTCATTTAAGACATATTTCAAATATCTAACTCTAACTAATCCATAAATATTCTTAATACCTTACCATAACAAATCCTCACTAAAACCTTGTGCTTTTATTATTTATTTTAAAATCATATAAACATGGAGTACAAAATATCATTTGAGAATGAGTCCGAGAACACAGAAGTGTATTACATTTGGGCTTTGTCTACTTACCGGAGGGTCTTGATCTTCTGCAAGCACAGTTGTGATGACTGTCCCCTTCTCTGCATTTGGAGCCACCAGCCCTTTATAAAGTGCCTGTCTGAAGACCGGGGAGAAATCATTCATATCCTGAAAAGAACACAGAGACAGAAACATGGATGAAATATGTATTAATAACACTCATTAAAACAGGACTGAGGTTAGTAGGGCCCGCTGGCAAAGTGATTCTGTTCCGTCTGTTGTCGCCCCTTTAGTGAGGAGTGACATAATGCTAAATAGAGTATTAATCAGCTTATGGACGCTGCTGTCTTTCACTGCTGTCCACTACCACTATCAAAGAGCACTTTACATATTATTTCAAGGTGTTTTAAAGTCAACATGAAATAAAAATATTACTTCATTAAACACCACGTCTTCCTCTGCACATAATGTAAAATGTAAAAAAGAATAAAAGTTGCACATCAATACAACCTAACCTTTCACTTCAGCATGAGCTCAAGTGGCTGAAACTACAGCAGAGATATGGATCTATATGCAGCAAGCTGTTCTTCACTGAGTCGAAGGGACGAAGGCTACAGACACACAAAAGATCAAAACAACCCTTTGAAATCTCCCAAAAGCCCAGCTATGATGACTCTACCCTGACATTAATAATATTGCCTTCACCTCAGCTCAAGCATCATTACAATTTGTTACACCATCTCTATTTCAGCAAAACTAACAGGGTGCAAACTTTGCTATGTTGAAAGTAAAGATCACTGCGTAAAGTAAAGATCACACACGCAAATAAACTCAAGATTCAAGGCACATCTGAAGAGAGCAGAAGCACAACCACAATTCACCGCTTTGTTTTTCACATCACAATAAAACATTTGCTGTAAAGATCATTAAAATCTCTGGTGGTTTAATTTCATCTCATAATACATAAGTCACTGTGATCTATAAACACACACTTTAGTAAGAGAAAAAAAAAATCTTTAAAAAATGTTCTGGGCAATTTTTTTAAACCTTAAGTCTGTGCTACATGCTGTCGATCACTTCCATGAATTATTAGGCCAAAAAAGCTTATTACTTGATCTCTAAAACTGTCTAATAATACAAAATAAAACTGAAATAAGCCACGAGAGGCCATGCAGATCAGTCAATCAGAATTTAAAACTTCAAAATTATTCATAATTTAAGCACTGTTTCTGAAAACATGTTAAAAGTTGTGTTCTTGAGCAACCCAACAACTTACATTTCTTATAAGCAGTATTAAAATTATTTAATCTGATATCATGAACTAACAATAACAACATTTTTATATCTTGTTATTATTTAAATGCTGAGACTCGAACCGCCAAAAATAAATAAATAAATAAATTAATTAATAAAAAAAAATTTAAAAACATTGTAAATTGAAATAAAACTTAAAATAAATAAAATATAAATATTAGATGAACAAATTTTTTTTACGAAAAATTAGAAAAAAAACCCAAAACAAATAGAAAGCACTAAAATGATTAGCTGGAAAGAAATAATAACTAAAAATTATCTAAAACTAAAATAGAAATAAATTAAACCTAAATACTGTTATTAAACAAATTACAAAAGCACATAAAAATGACTAAAAATGTTAATTGAATGAAACTAAAAATATAAAAACAAAAGCATATTCAAAATATTAATTAAAAACTATAATAGAAAATAAATCATACTAAAATAACTGATTATGAAATACAAAATGTAAATTTAATAATTAATTGCATCTAACAATAAATTGTAATCATAAATATTTACACACTGAATCCCTACATTAATGTACAATCAACACAAAGGAAGCACATCTTGAATGTATTAAATTACATCTTTTGAACTTAAACTTGAGAACCACAGATTATTCTGATAAATGCAAGTGACCCTGCGGTGAGGTGGGTCGACACTCATTTGCATGTATTTGCTCTGGACTTTCCACAGTTCAGCAAGTACAGACTGGAGTGATCAAAGGAAGCAAAACTGATTTAATGAGCCATTGGTGGCCGCTCATAGGACTTGTGTGAAATAATCTCATTTGGGTCAGTCGCACTCTGGCCAAAACATTAAGCCTAAAATAATGTTTTAAAGGGGTCATATGACGTTGCTAAAAAGAACATTATTTTGTGTATTTGGTGTAATGAAATGTGTTTATGCGGTTTAAGGTTAAAAAAACACATTATTTTCCACATACTGTACATCATTGTTTCTCCTCTATGCCCCGCCTTTCTGAAACGCGT